CACTAAATCCAGGGTACAGTTCAACTATTAAAAGTTAAATTATTTAACGTGGCTTTGGATTATTTCAAATTCTCAATGCCTAACATGTTATGTAACACCCATCAAAAGTTCAACATCTATACATTAAGTTCTATCAGTAGTTGTACCACTCCACTCATTACTCCACTATAATATCAAATTAAACATCCAAAATGTATTATCATATGATGAATTGAGGAACTTCAGGATTTTTATTATTTTGATAGAATTAAAAACTTGCTTAGAAAAAAAAATCATAACATGAGAAATGAAAACCAAGTCATTGTTATCCTGCAAATATTCCATTAATTGTCACTAGAATAAGTCAACCTAAATTTCTTCCTCTAATTCTCACTACTCTCAAAACTGGATTGTGAAACTCCATTTTAGGTACACAATCCCCTTTAAGTCTGACCTGATCCTCCACCCTGTAAGAATAAACTTGAATATGCACTATGACACTCAAATTTAAAACAAGATCCACTAGATAGATTGAATCATCAACAATAAACATACAAATTAACATACTTAACTAACATATTATCAACAGCACCTATAAATCAAACTAGAAATATCCAGAACAAACTAAAAGTTTAAACCTAAATTTTTGCCTCGCACCTATAGCAACTACAGAGACAAATTAAACCTGAATTTTCGGTATAAAAGCATAAAACCAAGCAGTTAATTACATATAAAATTTAAATCTGAAAGCAATAAACAAAAATCATTTTGAAACTGAATGCACACACTTTGAACCTATACCTTCATTACCCATGCAAATTAAACCAGCCTTCACAACGTTTAAGATATTAAACTACTGATTATATGATTACTTTCTGTAACTTAATTTTCTTGTAACAATTAAATGTATAAAGGGTCACGTAAAACGTTAAAATTAATATGTCTAGGCCTCTACAAAAGAAAAGAAAAAAAGCTACCATGGATTTCTATATAGTGAAAGTCACTAGGTACAAATGTATTCTGATTAAACAGTCCAAACAATCCTAAAAAGGCCCTCAATAATTAGGTTTAAGTTAATCGTAAGTATATAAAAAAACGAAAAATCACTAGGTTGAAAATGAACCTACTTGAGCATGAAATCACAAGGTTCAGGATGACTCAAGGACACAAGTTGCAAAATGATCTTGACTATACAAAGGGTCTCCACATAAAAGCCAATCCTGACTATATAAAATTAATTAATATGATATGTCACACCTTACCACTGGATCCTTAGTTTCTAGCTTATTGGGTCAACAGTGTTCCTTCCATTTTGACCCTAACTAAATGGAAAGCCCATGGGAATCTTGAATGTTTTCCCAACAAGAAAATAAAAATTATGAAATAAATTTTCAAATTGTCCTGGGAAATTTTCTAAAGAAAAACAAAAAAGTATGTTACTAACATTTTTGAAGTTCTTCAACCACATCTCCTTCATCGTCAGATTCTGTACCAGAGTCTCTGTCATTGTCTTCTTGTGGCTATAGAAAGAAAAATGTTTGACTATTTAGTTTGAATATATACAACGTGACATATCAAAGAGGATGCAAGTCCACCTATGGCACTAATAACAACACAGATTTTACTACTAATGCTTGTTGCCAACTGTTAACACACCTATGACAGAACAAGCAACCAATCATCTTGCACAGCTCCAAATGTAATTTTTTTTTGGTCTGCGTTTTCTTCTTTGGAGGTCAATCTAAATGTCCAGAAATAGTTCAGTTCTAGCCTCTAAGTGTTTACAAAATATGTAATTCTTAATTTCAAAAGCATAACACTCATACTAAAACTAGCATTACACATAAA